TGGTACACAGAAAATACTCAGGAAAAGTTAGCTATCATCATCTGCTTTGGAGAAGTTATCTTATTTATTTGGCACCTTATAGAAACTCCAAACTCACATACATCTGATTTTGGTCCTTTTAACTCTCAGTCACCATACTAAATTACACGTAAAAAGGAGACTCAGGGGATGTGAAACCAATAGTTATCAGGGATCATCTTTATGATGCATAATTTTTTGAAAACCGCAGGCTCTCTTAAAACTTCCAAGATTATTTTGATCATATTTTCTTTATTTAATAAGAAAGAAATTCCTTCTGAAATGTATTGCAGGTGAACCAATAACAAAATTGACAAATGCTCAAGTCTTTTATAGTTATCTGAACACAAAGAATAAAGTGTGATCAAATTTATGCACATTAGGTTAGTGTTTTCCTGTACCTAGCTCTTTTTACATGTTCAGGACCATTTCTTTTAATCGCTTGTTTTGTCTTCTGGCTATATTTTATCATTACCTACAAATTCAATAAATGGAACATTCATATTTCATAGCTGAGACTCAATGAATCAGGACAACAGTATTAGAAAAGAAAAAAAAAACCCAAAATATTAAGCCTCATATATTTTTGTTTATATCACTAGGCATCATTTCCAATTCAAAATTCTTTTTTAAGTATCCTTTTAAAATACACATTTTAAACTATCCAATTACATAGAGTTTACCAGTTGGCCGCTCAGATTGGGGAGAGGGATGGGACACTGGGGAGAGGGATGGGACACGTTGGAAGGGATTTACAAAATTAGAATGTATCTTTTTAAAACCCAAAGAAACATACACATGAATTTCTAATTCACATAGCCTATTTGCCTTTACAATCTGCTGATAAACACTGATTTTTAAACATTGTATATAAAATTAAATAACATGGAAAAAATAAATATGCTTTATTATATAAACACATAGAAATCTGTACTGCTCAAAATATTCAGACAATACTAGGCTTGGCTGCATAAAACCGTATTCAGAAAGTTTGGTAGTGATATTTACAGTCTTTATTTTTGCTAGAGATAGATGCAGCGAGGTGATAAAATACTGATGTCAGACATTTTCTCTTCCTACCTAAGGAAGCTGCAAACTTTAATATGAAAATGAGGTAGACACAAATTCATAAGTTGGCCAGGCAGAAACAAAAGCACAGTTCCTTCATGAGCTCATAAATTCTCATTATTCGGGTCGACAAGCGTTGTTCCAGAGCACCTAAAGCAAGGCTCAGAGAACACTTTTAGGTTTGTCACGAAAAAACCCAAACAAGCAGTTTCTCCTAAGGAGAAGCACAGGGTCCAAGATGATGAGCAAGCAGATACACGGGGCAACGCAGAAAGGAATGTGACAAGACCAGCTGGGAGAGCTGACATCACCTGCAACCTTTGTTACTTGAATTCTCTCCATGGATCTGCTGACTGGAGAATGCTGCGGATTTTTAAACTACCTTCTGCTGTGGTGTGACAGTATAGAGCTCTCTTTCTAATTTATCCGCTAGTCATGGGACGTGTGCGTTCAACCCCTCAGGCCGCTCCCACAAGCGGCAGGAGCAGACTGGAAGGCATTAGCAGGGTGCGAACCTGATTTAGAAATCAGAACGTTACCAAGTAAGAGTGGAAGGACACATTTAAAAGAGGACAGAAAAGGCTGAGCTTTTGGAGGATGTTTTTCAAAATCACGATTCCGAATCTCCAATGACAGGAGCCAGAACTAAGGGTCTAAGACGGGTTCTTAAGCCTACGTTCACCGAAGCTTCATTTTAAGAGACACTGGCAGGCCATGCTAACATGATGTGGCTTTTCTTTCCTAAATATTGTTCCTTAGTAACAACTGTTGAATGAGGCTATCTCCATTTTGACCTTGGAAAAGGCCTACTCCACACGGCCGCAGCTGATTCTGGACACTATCGCCAGTGTGTGAAAATCTGGGGAGAGAAAGCAATCCTACTGAAGGACTAATTGCTACTCTTGGTCTCTAATAAATGGAGTGTGCTTTCTCTTGAAAGCAACATGTTAGCACCTCAAATATACTCTTTGCTGTTGTTAATTTCACTGTCAGTTACAATGATGAAGCACCATGGGAGTGGTTTTATGGCTATTAACACGATTCTCTGAGGTATGCTTAAATTTAGAATTGCCTAGAAATTGTACCAAAGCATCCATGAAAATCGACATAAAAGTGAAATCAAAGTCCTACAGTAAGAATCTGAAAGACTGCCCTCACACACATGTATTTAAGTAATATATTATAAACGTATCTATTTAAATAGAATGCTTTTGATTTCACTTTTTTTTTTTAAATCACAGCTAGAAGCCTTACACAACTGGCCTTGCTCCTAGATTGTAGAGGCATTTAAATATATACTTGAACAACGATCACTTTATAAAGGAAGCACTAAAATCATAGAGGCAGCAAAAATATTTTAAAAATCCATGTATTCTTGGGGCGCCTGGGTGGCGCAGTCGGTTAAGCGTCCGACTTCAGCCAGGTCACGATCTCGCGGTCCGCGAGTTCGAGCCCCGCGTCAGGCTCTGGGCTGATGGCTCGGAGCCTGGAGCCTGTTTCCGATTCTGTGT